GCAGCAGCAGCAGCGCGTGCTGCAGGGGGCCCCGCCAGCGGCGTCGCGCCGCCGGGGGGGCCTCAAGGAGATCCAGCAGATGCACAGACAGCAGCAGCACGCACATGCACGCGCGGAGGAGCAGCAAGCAGCAGCAGCAGCAGCAGCAGCAGGTGAAGTTAGGGGAGGATCTTGTGGCCGTGAGGAAGGCCACTGGAGAGGGTACTGGAGGCACTTGCGCAGCTGAGGGGCCCCCCCGGGGAGAGTTGGGGGCCCCTAAGGAAGGGCCCCCTAAGGAAGCAGCTAGGGGGCCCCCCAAGCTGCCTGCTGCAGCAGGGGGGCCCCCCAAAGTACCGCTTTTGTGGCAAAAAAGGGCCCTTGAAGCCCAAAAGGAGAAAAGCCCCGTAGCAGTCGCAGAATTCCAGCGCATGTGGCCCATCTTCGTGCGGCTGCCTCCCTGGGGGGCCCCCCCGGCGGGGCCCCTCCAGAAAAGGGTTCACTTGGGGACCCCGGGGGCCCCCAGCAGCATGGGTGGCCCCGCAGCTGCAGCTTTTGGGGGAATATCCTTTGGAGATGCGGGGGCCCCGGGGGCCCCCAGCTCTAAGGGGCCCCTGGGAGCCTGGGGGGCCCCTGCGGCCCCCCCTAGGGCCCCTGGGGGTGCCCCTGAAGGGGCCCTCGGGGGGCCCCCGGGGGCCCCTGGGGCCCCGGATTCTCCTGTGTTGCTGCTGGGTTTTTTCGTAGAGGGCTTTCACATGCAGCTGCTGACGCAAATGGACTTAGTGGAAATTGTGGACACGGTGGTAGACTTGGCGGCGGGGCACTTCAGAGGGGGCCCCCCAAAATGCCCTGGAGGCCCTCCAGAGGGCCCGCGGGGCCCCTCGGAGTGCCCTGGGGGCCCCCCAGAGTGCCCTGGGGGCCCCCCAGAGTGCCATTGGGGCCCCACAAAGTGTCCTGGGCGACCCCCAGAGGGCCCTGGGGGCCCCATTAAGTGCCCTGGGGTCCCGACAAAGTGCTCTGGGGACCCCAAAGAGTACTTTGGGGCCCCCACAGAGTGTTTTGGGGGCCCCAAGGAGTACACTGGGCGCCCCACAAATTGTACTGGGGGCCCCACAGAGTGCAATGGGGGACCCACAGAATGCGCTAGGGGCCCCACAGTGTGCATTGGGGGCCCCAGAGAATCCGTGGGGGCCCCCATAGGGTACAATGAAGGCTTTAGAGAATGGAGTGGGGGCCCCCAGGAGTCCGGGGGTGGCCCCCGTGAGGGTGGGAAAAAGGGTTCAGTGAGGGGGGGCCCCGGGGGGCCTCTTATTGTAGGCAGTCAGCTGAAAATGAGGGTAGCAGCAGCAGCAGCAAGACCCCCGAGCGCTTCTGCAGCGGGACGAGCAGCAGCAGAGGCAGCAGCAGCACCGGAAACAGCAGCAGCAGCAGCAGAGGCAGAGACAGCGGAAACGGCAACAGCGGCCCAGGGAGCAGCAGCAGCAGCAGCAGCAGAAACAGCAGCACAAGCAGCAGCAGCACCCGAAGCAGCACCAGCTCGTGAGGGCAGTCCCGCAGCAGAGGGCCCCCCGCAGCCTTTAGCCGGGAGCAGCAGCACGGGGGGCCCCCCTTGGGGGCCCCCCAACTTTGCTTCTGCAGCTGCGGGGGAGAGTGGCCAGGCTGTGGGGCCCCTGTGGGGCCCCTGGGGGCCCCCCAGGGTCACCTCAGAGGGTTCAGTTAAACCTGGAAAAGCCCATCTTTGGGGCCCCAGGGGGGCAAAGGGCCCCGGGGGCCCCTTAGGCATAAGAGCAGCAGCAGGGGGCCCCCCTGAGCCTGCTGCTGCGGGGAGCTGTGCTGTGGAAGGGGGGAGGCCCCCAGGGGCCCCTGCAGCAGGCGGAACAGAGCCCGGGGGGCCCCCCGCCTGGGCTTTGGGGGGCCCCCAGCTGGGGGTGGGGGCCCCCCAGCTGGGGAATGGGGGCTCCCCTGTGGAGGACGGGGGCCCCCCTGGCGGCAGCGAGATTTGTGCTGAAGTGAGTGGGGGCCCTGGGTCTCGTGCTGCAGCTGCTGCAAGTGCGGCAGACCCGGCTGCGGCTGCTGCTGCACTTGCTGCTGCTGCTGCTGCTGCTGCAGCGCGGGGCAGGCGGCCGCTGCTGCGGCGCCGCGGGGCCCCGCGAAGGAAAACCCGCAGCAGGAGACAGGGGGCCCCCAAAAGAGCCATGGAGGCCCCTAAAGGACTCATGGGGGCCCCCAAAAGACCCATGGGGGCCCCCCTTGCATGCATGCACAGCCCCTGCTGCTCCTTTGAGGGGCCCCTGAGCTCCCCCGTGACCCGGGGGGCCCTGGGGGGCCTCATGGGGGCCCCCAAGGGGAAGCAGCAGCTGCTGCTGAGCCAAGACGCGCAGCTGCAGCAGCAGCTGCGGCTGACGGAGCAGCGGC